CGTGCATAGGAGCAGATTGAAAATACCAGGCACCTCTGAGTCCTCCAAGTAACATCCTTGCTTTTCACCACTCGAAGGAGATCTTGTGCAGCAGATTGACCCAATATAATGTGTCATCTGACTTACTGACGGCTGCTTTCACCAGCATTGATTGTGGATCCAAGCAAAACAAAATCCTTAATCCTTTCCATCTTTTCTCCGTTTTTCATGTTACCTGTTGGTCTAGTTGGGAGGATGTGGGTCTGCGTTGTGATCCATACTGAAGGCTGCAACCGGACCTTTATCAGAAAAGCCGTCAGGGCCCCCTCACTTTCAGCATCAAGGTTGTGTCATCTGTCAGCCTTCCTCCAACCCTGACGCACCCTCTTCAGAGAAGCCAGCTTCTCTGATGATTTGTCAGCAGACAGATGACATACATCTGGTGAAAGGGTACAGCCTTGTTTGCACAACTGCCTCTTGATCCAGGTACCAGTTCCGCACAAGCACAATGAAGTGTTCTGGAATTTCCATTCTTCTTAAGGCAATCCATAGTTTTTTATGATCCACACACTTGAATGCTTTGGCACAGTCAATAAAACACAAGTAAATATCTCTCTGGTAGTCTCTGCTTCCAGCCAAGATCCACATGATGCCAGCAATGATCTCTCCTGTGTCACCTCCTCTTCTGAATCCAGCTTAACTTTATTTTTCACATATAGCACACCATTATAAATAATATATGCACATATAATAACATACATAGCACCCTTTGAAAATTAATGGGGGGGGGTGTTCATGGTTTACAAAAATTGTATAATTCAATCATATTTCAAAAGTCCAACATTTACAGGTTAACTAATCTTGGAAATACTGGACTTAATTGAGTTTAATATTATCAGTATCTTTTTTATCAGTCCCCCTGTGTCTGAGTTGCCAGGAGCATATCATATAAAAACAAATGGCGTTCAAAGTAATGGGAAGTGATGAGAGTAATTCAGCTAAAGTCTATTTTTAGCAGAGATGAATAAAACAAATTATGAAACTGCTTCTGACAATATTAATCTGGCTTCATAGCTCTTTTAAATTCTAGCACAAATCAGCTGAATTAAAGCTTTCAACTTCTTTATTAAACAGCCCTGGAACCAGACTGCTGTAGTGGCTTACACACTGGGCTGCCGGGTCAGCAGTTTGAACCCACTCCAGCTGAGGTGGTCTGTCCTTGTGAAAATTCACAGCCTCAGAAACGCACAGGGGCAGTTCTACTCTGTCCGATGAGGTCACTGTGAATCAGAATTGGCACAATGGTGCTGAGCTTATCCCCACACTCCACCACGTGTGTTAGTTTAGCATACCACGGTGGCTTCTGTGTGGCTGTGTTGCTGAAAGCTGGGTCGCCAGTATTTCAAACACTAGCAGGGTCACCCAAGGTGAACAGGTTTCAGCGGAGCTTCCAGAGGAAGAACTAAGAAGAAGGAACAGGCCACCCATTTACAAGGGCTTACCAATGGAACCCTTAGGCAGAGCAGTGGAGTATTGTCCGAGAAAGGGGCAGAAGGTTGGCTAGCCTTCACAATAGGACTGGGGAACAGCTGCCTCCTCAAAGGCGAGCCAGCCATGAAAACGTGGATGGAGGAGAGCGTTAGGACCTTCGTTCGCTGCTGGGGCTTGACTCAAAATGAGAAGAAACAGCTACAAAAATTTGTGACTAATCAAAATAGGAAAGGTACCAAGGATGAATCTAGGAAAATTGGAAGCCATTAAAAAATGAAACAAAACACATAAAGACCAATATCCTAGGCTGAAAGGACTGATATTGGCCATTTTGAATCAGACAAAGATATAGTTTACTATATGTCTGCAATGACAAATTCAAGATACACGATATTCCATTCATCACCAAAATGAACATTTCAAGATCTCTATGTATGTACTTTTTTGTATTCTAGAATAATGGGTTTGGGCGTGTGGTGGTGGGGGTAGAATGAAAGGGAGAGGGTGTCAAGGAGTCCATGTAGAAAAAGAATGTTTGGAACTGGTAGCAATTGTACAATTCTATATGACATGGTTGAAATATGGAATGATACATATTTGTTCCTTCCCATATTCGTTTCCCTTTATAAATAAAACATTAAACATTAAAACATTCTACATTTTCATTATCTTATTAAACGTTATTTTTTACTATTTAGGATCTAATACACATGTATCATTCCAGTAGAGCCAGAGTGCTCTGTAGGGTCCAGGATGACAAGGCTTCGTCTTATATGTTTGGGGCATGTCGTCAGGAGAGACCAGTCCTGAGGGGAGGACAGCATGCTGGGTAGAGGGCAGCACAAAAGCGGAAGGCCCTCAATGAGCTGGATGGACGCAGTGGCTGCAGCAATGGGCCCGAGCGCAGGAACCATTGTGAAGCTGGCCCGGCACCGGGAGGGGTTTCCTTCTTGAGTGCTTGGGTCACTATGGGTCGGAACCAATTCAGTGGCAACTAACAACAACAGCTCGGATCTTTTTGAGGAAAGAATTAGAATTTAACCATCTATTTAAGACTACCCAAGTCAAGTGAAACATTCCCGACCGTACTTGCCTCTATTGCAATTACCCAGACCGATGGGTAGGTTTAGGGGGATAAGGACATACCTGGCAAGTGAAAAGCTTTTCAGGAAAATCAAGGAATCCATTGTATGCAATGAACACTTTACCAAATGCCAGTTACGTACAAGGAATGTCACTTGGGTTTACAGTTCAGGCGGAGAGGAACAGCATTTCTGGGTGCCCTCCTGGGAGGCTAGTGCATTGTACAAAGCATGTTGCAGACCTTAATTCATTCTATTCGCACCACCTTCTGAGTGGTAGCTATTAATCGTCCCCATTCGACGGGAGAAAGCTAGGCCTCAAAGAAGTGACATAACTTCCCCACGTTCCATTTAATAAAGAACAAGGAGTCCAGTTCATCTCTCTCTGTATATCCATTAATTTTCTCGTGCATAACCTCATCTCCATTCAACAATTCTGAAGACAGTCATTGTCTCTTCCTTGATGTTCATAAAATTTGCATGGCATACATGGAGATCATACGACACTAGTAAGAGGTAGAGATAGAAATTATTTGCAGTTGCCTTTTTGGGGGGACACAGTTCTTCCTATGGGCCAAACCTTATAACATATTGTCTCAAAACCCTATGAAGTGCTATTGTTCACACGGGACAGATGAGAAAACCAAATGTCTAGTTCCCCGCTGAGTAGTCCAGAGCAGTTTTCTCTGCTTCCCCTGCCCCTCACCACCACCCAGCAGCCGAGAGCGGCACATGGAGCTACCCACACTGGAGAGGTAATCAGAGCATGCCGAGGTGAAACCAAAAGTACACAGGCCCAGAAGTGAGCTGACAGGGGGACTGCTTCTTTGTATTTTCCAAATGTCCTTAGACAATTCCCGGCAGAGCAGTTTGCAGCAAGTAACTTGGACAAAACCATCAAAAGAAGTAAGCTTCATCCTTAGTGCCTACCAGCCAGCAGTGTGTGTGTGTGTGTGTGTGTGCGTGTGTGTTCAGATCTCAATCTGTGAGCCCTCAAGGCGTTACATGACAATTTGTACGGAGTACAAATGACCAGATGTGTCTGCCAGTCTGTGCTGCCCATCAGTGAAAAGATGCAAATTCGGAGTTTCTGAATACTTGGCGCTGGAGGAACACAGCGAGAGTAATCACTAACACAGGCTAAGTTGATCCGCGAGTCCAGTTATACTAATAGAGAGAAAAGGTAACGGTTTCAAAATGCCTGTAGCAACCCAGTCTGCAGATTGTTGTTGGTGTGACTATTGCTGAAACAGGTGTCGGGTTCATAAATTTGCATAACGAAATGCTTTTCTTGTGGCAGAAGCCCATACAATAATGGGTGCCATCTGTATTCATCTGGTGAAGTTTTCCAATACGACTGTCAAGATGCCTGGGCTAATTTCATGGTGCCCATTTTACTGTGAGCGTGCACAAGATGCCCATCATTCCCAAGGAAATCACTCCTTGGAGGGAAAGTAGGAGAACTCATAACGTAGGGGGCTTTTCTTGGTGGGGCTCCTTCCTTTCCCACTCCAACACAAAGCAAACGCCCGGCCACCCCACCTAAAACATTGCTTCATCAGAGCAGTAGACGCAGACAGCACGGAAGACCACCAGGTCCTATCAACACAGGCGACGAGTTGGGCTGCTAACCCCAAGGTCAGCAGTTCAAAACCACCAGCTGCTCCGTGGTCAAAAGATGAGGTTTTTCCTCCCACAGAGTTGCAGTCTCGGAAACCCACAGGGGCACCCTGCCCTGTCCTACAGGGTCACTACGAGTCAGCATGAACTTGGTGACAATGAAAGGTGTTCATCATTTCCAAGGAAATCACTGAACATCGGCAACCCTTTTGAAAAGCTCTTCTTGCACCTGAACTTGTCGAAAGCTTTCTGTCTTCCAACCTCATGACCAATTTGTAGAGGTTGGAGTCTGCCGTGAACTTCTTGTCATCTCTGGCTCCACTGCTTTTCCCACTGAGCGTGCAGGCGTCCCTCGAGGTGCAGTTTTAGTTTTGATCGACTCCTCACGGAGGAAGAAAATTACATGGAAGTTTCGTTTTTCAAAATTCAGAGAGACAAACATAGCATTGTAACAAAAGATCGCCTTAGAGCAGTCAGAGAAATCTAGTGAAACAATAGGGTAAGCATGGGGCTGCCAACCAAAAGGCTGGTGCTGGAACCCAGCAGTCACGCCGTCAGAGGAAGATGAGGCCGTGAGTCCAGGAACATATCCAGCCTTGGAAACTCTTCCATGGTCACCGGGAGTCACAATGGTCACCATGAGTCGAAATCACCTTGAAGACAAAGGACTTGGTTCGAGCGTCCATTTTTAGTGAATGTCACAACATCAACTTTATTGTCTACCGTTCAAGCACATTGCAAGCCTTTTCCATAAATAAGGTCACATCTGTGTATTCTTCCCCATGTCTTTTTTTTTTATGCCTACAGGTCCATGAAGATCTTTATCAATTGAAGGATAAATTAACAAAACTCTCACTGGAGGGCAAAGGGGCGGCTCCAGACATTGAGCATCTTGAAACAGCCATCGAAAGGACGGAAATGGGGCTAAGGGTAAGTGCCGCATTAGCTTTAAATACAGTCTTGCGGGAGACAAACGTCCTCCGAAAGAAAGGTCCTTGTGCAACTGTGTCACAGATGTGGCCTCGGGGTGGTCACCAGCATTTCCATTCTGTCCCTCTTTAAAAGAGGATGAGGAGGATGATTAATGGAATGACTGATTTACATCTCATCTCCGTCCACAGAGAATTTAAAGAAATGTTGATCATGTAAAGTTATGCCGTGCAAATCCTAAAATACGGTTTTAAAATTATGAGCCGACCTTTCCCTAATAGCTTGTCTTTTGAGATTATCCACTTGTGGTCATGTGGGTAAAACTCAAGGCACCCATCGTGAAGCAGCGAAATGAAGAAGAAGAGGCCTTCATCCTGACAACGGAGGCAAAGGCAGTAGCGAATCCACTCTGAAGAGCTGCTTCCTAACAGAGGCTGAAACTCTGGTTCGGCCGATCTTGGGGTCCATCGTCCAAGTAAGGCCCAGCTCCATCGACAGGCCTCAGATTGTCATTGTCTTTGCTCCGGCTTGAGGTTTCCAGTCTCTGTGTCATCAGCTCCCCCTCTGTGGCAGTGAGGAATGTCTGGCCTCAGACTGACACCTCATTGTCCTCTGTTCCCTAATGGTGAGAGGTCTGGACGCAGCTGGAGTCTTTGAATGAGCCATTTTAAAGACTCTGTTACCTAAAGGCCAAATGCCCGGGTCTGATGTTACATGAAGTCCCCGTAAGAAGAAGACATTACTCCACGTCTGTACTGCAGTAAATGCACCTGGCTGAGCACTTCACTGACTCTCGTACGTGGTGTCACTTGTGCGGAGAGCTATAGGTCACCCCAGCTCTGGGTTTCAGTTGTTTACTATGCTTTTTGGGACAGTTAAAGTAATTTGGCCTTGAGATGCCTAAATGATACCTTAGGCATGAAATAAACACATAGCATGTTGTGTCTTTTGGCTTAATTACACGATTCGGAGTGTTAACCTAATGAAACAGAGTAAATTAGCTGAGTATCTTAAGTCCACTCTAATGGCCTAAACTTTGACTTTTCTGTAACAGATGCACATTGAGAAGTATTTAGATGTTGTAAACCAACATGTGTTAACGACTCCTGTTCCTAACGAGAGCTTATATTCTCCTCAGGCTTCTAAATGGTAAGTAAAATAGCCATTTTAGAGCTCAAAGTAAATTCTATAAAAAATACAGTTTCTCACTCAGGTGAGATGACCGAAGCGGCAAAATTCTTTTGGCTTGCTTCCCATCTGCTCTGCTAATTTCCGTGGACGTTTTGCATAAGACGTTAATGGCAGAATTAGGGCCCAAGTGAAGTTTATTCGGGGCTGCTTCTAGCAATGCTAATGCTTTACTCTGTGAAAATCATTTCAGGGTCTCGGGTTTGAAGTCACTTTTGTTTCCTTTTACTTCTCAGAGGAGAGAGTTTACTGTGTATCAGTTTACACAGTTCAGCTCACACAGTGCTTAGGCTTCCGAATGTGCTCTAAGATGATTTTGTTTGTTGAGTACCAAGAAGTGACCTTGCCTCGCCTTGAATCTTTTAATAGAAAGGCCTCAGGAATTTGAGTGAATGTTGATAAAAGCTTATGTACCAACCCAAATTCTCTGCTATAGAGTCGATGCCAACTGACTGATTCATAGCTTAAAAAGTCTGTGGTCCTTATGTGTGCTTTTTACATAAATTTATCATTAGATATAATATATTTAGGATTTTATCATAAATTTTAATATATCATTTATATTTAGGATATTAGCTATATAGATATATATTTATGATTTTATATATATAAATATAGATATACTATCCCAGTGTTGGAGCCCTGGTAGCGTATAATGGACTGTTAACCACAAGGTCAGCAGTTTGAAACCACCAGCTGCTCCTTAAGAGAAAGATGAGGCTTTCTACTTCAGTAAAGATTTACAGTCTAAAAAAAAAAAAAGATTTACAGTCTCAGAGACCCACAGGATCCGTTTTTCTCTGTCCTATGGGGTTGCTGTGAGTCAGGATTGGCTCGGCAGTGAGGTTTTTCAGTTCTCTGTATCCAAGCATAATTTTATGATAACTGGCTATAAAGTCAAGTTCTAGAAATAATCCATGTGGAATGCCAGAAAGCCCAAGAAACAGCCGCATCTCAGGTAATGCCACAAACAGCACCATCCCTCCACAGAGGAAATCTCACCCTGGATGCTCCACTCTGCCTGGACTTCTTTACAGACATAAGCCTCTGTCTCTCCAGCAACTGTCTCCTCGTTACACTTCCATTCCTAATACCTAGAAGGTACTTGTACTTATTGCTGTATAGCAAATTACCCAAAATTTACTGACTTAGAACAATAGACCTTCATTATCTCACAGTTTCTGTGGGTCAGGAATCCAGGCATGGCTCAGCCAAGTGCCTCTGGCTCAAGAGCTCTCCCCGGTTCCATCTACAACTTTTGTTAGTAAAGTACACGCGTATATACACACTACGAGGCTCTAAATTCTGAGTCCCAGATTAAGGACGGCGGGTCAGTGGCTTTCAATTAGAAAATGGAAAGAATACATTTTCAAGATCTGAAGTGCTAGGTCCTTCCCTCCTCCCATCCTCTGCCCCCCACCACACACACACACACACCCAAAACTAAGTGAGGGACTCCTGCAGTGAAGACAGACAGCTGGATGGGAAGCAGGTGCCACTGGGAGTTTTAACGCTTTCCCATCCTTACCTGCCTCACAGAGTTGCTATGAAAACACGCATACAGTGAAAAGCTCCGCTCCTTCTCCAAGCAAGAGTTTCTTCACACGAACTCTGCCCTGTTACCAGATGTCCAACACCGTCCAGTGGTTGGGAAACCCATCCATGTTGGCAAAACAAGGCAACTTTCTAAAGCGCAGCGAGTCTTTTGTGGATATGATGCTGTTGTTTAAGACCAGGAGGGGACACACGGGATAACATGTGTGGTTGGGGCTCTTTATGCACAGTGATCTTCAGAGGAGCTACCCCCAAATAATTGGGGGCTTTGCTTTATTTCCATAGTCAGAGGGATAAACTCACAGCCTTCGCATCGATACTGACTTATAATGATCCTATAGGGCACAGAACTGCCCTTGTGGGTTTCTGAGACTAACGCTTTACAAGAGTAGAAGGCTACATCTTTTTCCCTCGGAGCAGCTGGTGGTTTCGAACTGCTGACCTTGCCATTAGCAGCCCAACTCGTAACCAAAGGAAGACATTGGTCATGGAACAAGTAAAAGATACTTGCAACTCAGGTCTGGTCTATAGGCAGGTCATTTGGCCACGTGTTGAGTTTGATTCAGCACGTTCAAGATCACAATGGTCTCTGCCTGGCAGCAAGGCTGTTTGAGACTTTTGTCTGTTGCTAGAGCGGATCTGCCAGCGGCTCAGTCTGACCAGATACTCTGCAGATGGATGCCGGGCTCCCACTGGGTGTACATAATTTTAGCTCTCATACTTTTCCCTTTGCCATATTTGACTTTTTTGTAATCTTTAGAACATACAAGCTTGTGTGCTGCTTCTGTGTAGACTTAGTTGACTCCTCGCTTAGATGGCTGCTTATTTAAATACAAGCCTTTAAGACCCCAGACACTATTCCGATGGATAGCCGGGCACCATCCACTTTCTTCACCACACTTTGCTGTAGCACCCTTCTCCCCAGTGATCCGTCCATGGAGGTGAGTATTCAGCAGGGCCATGTCATCAGAACTAACTGTTCTCGAATTAGGGCTAGACTCTATCTGCTTTTCCATGGGGTTTGAACATCGCAGGTTGACTTTGGCGGTCGTAATATGACGAAATCACAACCCTGTAATATCAACTGCATCAATAGCAGCCATAAGCCAGCCAGCCACCAAGTGAACAGAACACACATGTCCAAAAGGAAAGAGGGAAAAAGACAGAAAACAAAAACTCCCCAAAGCAAAGTTACAAGCAGGAAAGCACAGAAGTACAGCATTGTCAATCTCACCCCCACCCCCACCCCGGGGCACGAGTCAATCGCACTGTTATCATCATCCGTTTTCCCAATGACTCAGCACTCCAGACGCTGTGGGTGTGAGGAGTCTATGCGAGCACCGTTCCACCTTGAGCTGCAGCCCACGAGGTTTTGCTCCACAGTTTGATCTCTCATCGATTGAGCTTTGTTGACACTAAGTATATGGATTGATGCCAGTGGGGGCCTGCCTGGGCCACCTCCCCCAAATGTCGATCCCTGTTCAATGGATCCCAACCTGTCGCGTCACTGCAGAGTGGGCACTGAGGCACTACCTGTATGGTGATCCTGGGTCCCTTTCCACTGGACACCCACCGAGCTGGGGGTTCCCGCCAAGGTCCAGTGCTCACCACTCCCACAATCCTGGGGCGGCCATTCTCTGCTTCCTCTCCCACCAAGTACCCCACCCTCAGTCCAAGGGTGCCGGCAGCTTTGAGATAGGGTTCAGTTCACTCAGCGGGGCCTCTCTAGTAAGTCCTTCTGGTGTAGCCTCTGCTGGAAAAGGACATGTGGTCTGTTCAAGTAAGATAGGAGCCCCCGCCCAGGGTGGCTCCTCCCGAAAAGAGTTCGTCTTGGAGACTCACAGAGGCAGCTCTGCCCTGCCCTGCACGGTCACTGTGAGTTGGAATTGACTCAATGACAGTGAGGTGTTTTTTTTAATTCATGTTATATATTGATATAAAATAAATTAATATATGTCACATAGTGTATTAGAGGAACTTCAAGATTAAGCATCCAACAGTTAACTTAAAAAATTGGTGGTTTAAACTTAGGAGCTACTTTGCAGGAGAAAGTGCACGGTGGTCTGTTCCTATAATGGCAGAGCTTGACTGTGGCAGTAAGACTGTCCTGTGCGGTGACTGAGTCAGAATCACCTCCGTAGCAGCTGCTTTGTCTCTCAGGCTATGTCAGCGCCTCTGGATCATTCTCATAAAGGTAATGCTAAGTGAAAGACCGATGATACGAAAGAGTACGCATTTTAAACTTCGCACTGAACTAAAAAGCAAGCAAACAAAATTACATGGTTGATGGAGCCCTGGACCACAGTGGACCACTCTGGGCTGCTGACCTCAAGGTCCAGCCGTTTGAAACCTCCTGGGGACAAAGACAGGCCTTCTACTCCCGCAAAGTTACAGGCTCGGGAAGTCACAGGGGCAGCTCTCCCCGGGCCTGTAAGGTCGCGGAGTCTGTGTGCGTTTGGGCTTTATGGACGGACGGAGAAGAGCCCTCGTGGAGGTGAGTGCAAGCCGGGCTGCCGGCCACCAGGCCATCAGCAATTAGAACGCACCAGCACCTCCCAAGGAGAAAGCGTGCGCCTTTCCGATCCTGTAAATAAATATGGACAGTCTTCGAAACGCACAGAGGCGGTTCTGTGCCTTCCTAAAAGGTCACCGAGAGCCAGACTGGCAGTGAGGGATTTTTGCTTGTTTGTTTTTAAAGGGATGGATAGACACAGAAATTGTTTTCACACAAGCTAACAAATGAGGTAACTCTGGCAGAGAAGGAGGGTTTGTTTCAGAGAGAGGAACCTGGCGAGGGGACGACTTGTGGAGTGCTGAATATGTTTTATTTCTTGAGGATTCGTTACAAAGCTCAGAACGTTGTTATTCAAAAGATGGACCTCTTTCTTATCCACTGGTCACAACTGTAGAAGGAAAATCGGCGGCGCTAGGCAAGTATCCACACCGTAGGAAGTGTGTCTGTGATGACGTTGTCCGTTTGTTCTGAGGCTCAAACTAACTCAAACCGGCCCATAGCACCCCTATCGGACTGGGGAGAAGTGGCCCTGTGGGCTTCCAAAACTTTAACTCCGTACAGGAAGAGAACACCCATCTTTCTCCCGAGGAGCAGCTGGTGGGTTCAAGCTACTGACCTTGCAGTTAGCAGCCCAATGCGTACAGATAATGCTAAACGAAAGTCAGCTACCACCCGTCGTTCCCAGGCACCAACTACCTCTCGGTTCCGGCCACTTGTTTCAGCAGTCTAGTCTAGAGCGTTCAGCTGCCCCGGCTCGCTTTTCCCTCGGGCTTTATTCGCCATCCAAAGCCCAGCTGTGTGGAGACAGCAGGTGGCAGCGTCAGATGTGACACTGTCCTCCTTTGATAAAGTTACGTAAGTATTTTGACCTCTTTTAAGGCCACAGTGGTGGGTCGTGGTGACATAGGTCATTCTTCTGTTATCTGCATTTATGATAGATTCAACAGTCCCATTCTTTTATATTTTCTAATATTTAAAAAAAACACAGCAATTTCCAGATGAGGAATTTTGACAGACTTTTTGCAAACATGGTATGTTTTGTCTACAACATCTGATCTTCATGGTGCTATTTTTCAATACACCATCTGCTCCCTAAAAGAAAATAATTAAATACCTCGAATGTGTGTTTACTGAGGGGTTGCCAGAAAGATAGTTCATGTCCCACACTCTCCCGCCCTCACACCTGTACCTACACATGCATAGCCACCGACTCTTCCCTCCACCCATCAGCACACACTCATACACGCCTGCACACACACAAACATGTGACTCCCTGGCACTCACACACAGGACGTTTGCTTCTTCTGCAAAAGATACTCGAAAACTTGTTTGGAACTTGCAGAACATGTGGTTGATCCTGACACAGGGTTTCCATTCTCCGGCAGAAAGGGGTCACCGTGGGGACAACAACATAAACAATGATTTGGAAATTGCTCAGTGTGCCAACTTTGAAATTGCGTGACTTTTTTGGGCAAATATTTAGATCATGAGATATTTACAAGATTCAACATCTTGTGTATACAGTTTACTCTACTAATATTTAAATCACTATTTTACAATTTCACAATTAAAACGGACAAAAATACAACTGTTCTCTCATTGTACTTGCAAGGCCAGTCCAGTACACTAGTCTTGGGAGTGGCTGTATGAGTGACTGGGGCTGGATTGGCTCTGCCTCCTAGTGGCCCCGTGAACACCAGAGCAGCGCACTGCGCAGACTCTTCCGTTGACCTCACAATCGTTGCTGTGTTTTAGCCCATGTTGCAGCCACTGTGCCAATCGTCGCATGGACCCTAAACTCTACCAACATGATGGCCTTCGCCAGGGCTGCACCTCAGGGGACCTTCTTTATGAAACAGGATGCCTTTGACAGGGACTGGTCCCTGGTGAGACTAGACATGCTTTTATTGTCTTTAGAAATGTCTAGTTTGTTTACAGAATACAGGAACTACTTTTTTTCTCTTCCTGCTTCAACTTTTATTTTAAGCTTAATTTACTCCAGAGCCATAAGGTTTTGTCTCTTTAGTTCCTTCTGAGATATCTTCTTCCTTCTGTGCACCCTCCTCTTCTGGTTTAGAAACGACTTGTTCCTTTTCGGTAAGGATCATTTCAAAGTGGCAGGGAGCGCTCGTGTAGGGGCTGATCCGACCATGAGCTCTGTAAGTCCGGCGGCGCATCTTGGGGGCTTTGTTCACTTGGATGCGCTCAACAACCAGAGAATCCACATCTACACCCTTTGGGCCACCGACCCCACTGTTTGGCCTGGGCACACCTACCCACTGCGTCTCTGTAACATCAGAAGGCACGCACTGCTTCTGCAAAGTGACATCTTTCCAATATTTGGTGGCTTTCTGGATAAGCATACCCTCGGTGACCTGGGCAGTTTCATGAGTGTTCTTAAGATTGACCCGAAGATCCGATCTCTTGATGTGCATGATGTCGTGGGGTTTCCGGGTCCAGTGAGCAGCGAGCCATTTGGGCAGATCACCACAGGCCGCTGAGAACACCTTTCATCATAAATGAAAGATAGCCTTAAAAGTTAGCCAGGCTACTTGATAGAAAGTGAAAGGAAAACGTAGTCCAAGAGAAGCTCAGCCAGGACATTAGACATAGGATCACATGGTAAATGCACACACATACACGTGGACAAGTCAGTGTTGGTTTCTTCTGTCAGGTCAGCCCTAATTCATGGCAACCCTTGCACAAAGGAATGAAATGCTGCCGGTCCTGTATTATCCCCTTGATTGGTGACCAAAATGTTGTCATCCGGAGTTCTCAGTGACTGATTTTCGGAACTGCTAGGCCTTTTTTCCTAACCCGTCTTGGTCTGGAAACTCTGCCGAGACCTCTTCCTGGCAACACAGAAGCCACCAGAGACTGGTGGGTAGTAGGTGGGAATGAGGTGCACGGGCTGGGACTCAAACGTAGGTCTCCCACCCAGAAGGAGGGAATTGGGCCACTGAACCGCCCAGGACTCACACAAGTCACTAGATTGTGATATGTGGTTGTTTTATCAAGGTCAGCATCCTAGTAGACTCAAAGGATCAAGTTCTCAGTGGTGGAGCTTTATTGACCCTAATTCTCTTGAACATCTTAAAGAATGAACCTGCTCCCAGACAAATATATTAATCATTACAATGTCATTTGGTTTTAACGTTGTCCTGCCTGTGGGACCGCCCACTGCCTCTTGGGAAAGACATGTAGCTACCTGTGATCCTTGGGTCATCCTGTGGTCACCTGAAACAGCAGAGGTTTAGCTAATCGAAGTAGGAACTGCTTAGAGACCATCGTTTTGAATATACTGAATTTGATTTTATTAAACAAAATAGAGCCGTGCGCATTTTTCTTTACTAAGAAATGTTTTATAGTGTAGCAACGCTGTCAGTTGTTAGTCGTATAAACACAGTCAGAGAGAGCGCTTTTTATTCATGCTGTATCAATCTTTATCAGATTTGGAAGTTCTTATGCGTAATAAAATAGCTGCAGCTTTATAGTGGTAAAAAACCTAAAGACCAGCCTAATTTATTGTAATTACCAATAGAATATTTCCTATAAAGTGTAATCTTAACTAGGAAGCATTGTTTTAAAATTACAATCTGAGAAGCCTTTAAGAATCGCAAATTTGTATTTTGAATCCTGTTTCATTTTACTTAGGCAACTTCCAGACATACTTAATCAGAAAGCATTTATTTTCCCTCTGCATCCCGGGGATAAACTTTGGCTGCCTCAAAAGCAGCACAGTTCGAGTCCACAGATCTTCCGGAGAGCGCAGGTAAGCCTACAGAAAGAGACCCCGGACGGAAAGGGAATGTGGGATTACCTGGGTGGAGGGGAAGGAAGGGCAAGCAATGCCTGCTCAGTAGCTCAAGTTTCCTTTGTGGTGGGAGGAATGACACAATTGTTTCAAAATCAGGTTGTGGTGTTGGCTGCACAACTCTGAAGGTACTCCAAAGCACTAAACAGGATACTTTAAAAAAGTGAATTTTACGGTATGCGAATTCAAACTCAATAACCCTGTTAAAATGCTTTTCGTAATGAGTAAAGGTAAGCCATTTGGAAGGTTTTGTTCCCTTTAAGTTGAAAACGTATTGGGATAGTAGAGGTCCCGTTCTATAATTTCATGTAACGATTGTGGCCTGGTCAGTCAGCACAACCACCACAACAAATGCTCTTCAACGATCAAAATAAGACGGAGCCCCAGCCTCCAGCTTTTGAGCAGAACCCACAGGGAACTTCGCCAGTGGCAAAGGACACAGCGAGGTTTCCCAGCCTCGCTGCCGGAAGGTTCGCTCAAAGTGATTCTGGGTCTTTTTCTGACTTCCCAATGGTAATAAACAATAGCTCCCCTGTTTTAGGTGCCAGGTCGTTCCTTGGGGGATATTAATTTACTTAACCTTCCGAAGGAAATGTTGTTGCCTTCATTTTACTATTGAGGAAGCTGAGCTGCCTCCGTGTGAAGTTGCCCCAGGGTCAGGACCGTGCACCCCAGTGCACCCCATTGGACGAGCCCAGGGCTCCTCACCATGGTGGGGAGTCGTGAGATAGTTTAGATCTCATGAAATGCATCCTTTGAACCTGTTCCGCTCAGTGGTCTGCAGTACAGCCCTGGGGTTGTATCTCCATCATGAGGTCACCATCCTGTGTTTGTCACTACATCTGGTTCTAGCTGCCTCTTTTCCTTTCCCTCATCGGACTTGCCACCTTTCTGTAATCTGGTCATGAATAGTGTTATTATGATTTTTTAATGTATGGCTTCCCCTTAGATTGTTATTCATTGCCAGGGGACCCTCAATAAATATTTACAGAGTGAGTAAATAAAGCCACCCCAGTGTCCTCTACGGGTGTACTCATTCCCCTAGGAAACACCCATCCAGATTCTTCGATACTCCCCGCGCAGCCCGCTCCTCTCTGTGGTGTGGCACTCTTTCAACCGCGGCCACTCAGCCACTCTTGGTGGACTCTGCTGTGCGCAAGGCTGGTTAGAGGCATGCTGGGATGACCAAGACCTATTGGATCCCTGCTTGCATGGAGCAAGCGCTTCAGTGTTGGGCAGATGGTGAGACATTGATTCCATTTATTCCACAATGCTTGGAGCCAGATAAACCTCCGTCCCTGTCCAGGGCTCTGGGAGGCAGAGATGCCCAATCCAAGCATGATTTCTTTCCACCTGGACCTGAATGCAGTGGAAACTGGGGGGATCAGGCTTCTTGGAGGCACTGCGGCCCCTAGTGGGTGGGCGCCGGTGGTGTGAGGCTTTCCGCACAGAGTAGAACTCTCTGGATTTGGGACATGCCGTGGGAGTGGGACATGGCATGAGTGGGCCTCGCTGCACTTTCTGAAGAGCGGTCCATCTCAAAACAGTCTTCAGAGAGCACCCAAGTCGTTGCTCACACCCACGCCAGTCCCAGGGAGGGGACACAAGGTCTGGGCCATCACTGGCTCCATCTGCGAGATACCGCTCATACAGCTTCTATCTATCTATCTACCTTGTTCATTGGCTAGAGCTCAGAATCACTTTTGGGCAAAGCGAAAGAATGACACTGATCCAACAAATGTGATGTAGACCCTGATGGCAGTTCCCAAGAGAAGTTGTAAAAATTGGAAAGAAGTACGTAGCTTCCCCAAATAACACAATACCTGACACAGCTTGTTCACCTATTATTGTCGGCTGTTATTATTAACCTAAATCTAAAAATCTCTTAGAATCCCAGATTTGGAAGGGATCACCACAGTTAACTAATTCATCCTACTACCTCATACCCAAGGCCCTTCAGCCTCATAGTCCGTAAGTAGTCAAGGTTCATTTTAGATATTAATTGTGACAGCGAGCTGTCACTAGAGGTAGCTAGTTTCACTCTGTATTTTTTCAGACCCTCCAGCTTTGAGAGTCATTGGACAGGTGTCGTCAGAGGAGGGAACTTCTGTACTTGTGTTAGGTTCTAGAACTAGGAGGTAGTCCCCACATAGTATCTGTTCCCATGTGCCTGCCTGCCTCTCGAGAAGATTCTCTGGGATTTTCCCCCACCTGAAGATTCTTAAAGCTATACAGGCTCTTAGATCTGACTCAGCTCCCTTGTTTCATAGACGGGGAAAGCCTGGTCCTGATGTTGTAAGTAACTTGTACACAGTCTATTAGATAGTTATTTCAGAGTGAGACTTGAACCCTGCCTGGCCCAGTGACCTTGTGGCTCCTCCAAGGCCCCCCCAACATTTCCCATGTTCGTCTCTCCTATACCATACTCTGATGGCTTTTCTTCATATGTATCTTAGCTCTCAGTCAAGCTCAGCCCAGATTTCCTCTTGGATCCCTTGGGCTTTCGGCACACAGGTGCTCACAAGAGTCAAGGTAAGGGCTAGAAATAAAAGCAACGAAAGAGAAGGAAGAGGGAAGGAGAAAAAGTTTATGATGATCTTGTTGTGTCTGATGATTTAAAACAGAAATTCCTAAGCAGTTTAGATCAAAGGAACTACTTTGAAGGAGGATATTCTGGGTCTGTTTATGGGGCAGGGGAAACAAACCTATCATTATTTGAGAGTCATTCCCTATATTAATTCCTTAACACGGATGCTTTAATAACCAAATAGATGTAAAACATATATTGTGATCTAGCCTGAGAAACTGTGCACACCTGTGCAACATCTGTGACTGAGATGGGGGAGGATCTTTAATTCTGTACATTTAGCTCTAATCAGGAAAGTAATGGGGAAGAACATGGGTTTTGACATGATGGGAGAAATAATGTGTGAGGTAGAAGAATGGAAACGTCAGAGCAAGTCAGGGTTGGCTCCCAGGTTTTCACTGAAGCTGTGCCTCCTTTGCACCTTCCGCAGGTAAGTTTGCTGCGGAGACAGCAGTCACTGTTAGGGAGTCAGCGGGGGCCCCCATGAGGCAAGCACGGAGAGCTCTACCACTGCAATATAAATAACCACACCCTTTCCTTTTGCAGGCCTTTTAAAACTCCTCCTTTTATGAACATAGGCGAACATTCCCAGAATTGAACACGGACAGCCGTTTCTCCACCATCTAGGTTTTTCTTTTTTTTTTCGTGTTACATTCTTTTTTTAAAATTTTTATTAGGGGCTCATACAACTCTTATCACAATCCATACATACATCAATTGTGTAAAACACATTTGTACATTCATTGCCCTCATCATTCTCGAAACATTTCCTCTTCACTTAAGCCCCTGGTATTAGGTCCTCATTCCCCCCCGTCCCCTCTCCCGCCTCCCCCCTCCCTCATGAGCCCTTGATAATTTATAAATTATTATTTTGTCATACCTTGCCCTGTCCGACATCTACCTTCTCCCACTTTTCTGTTGTCCGTCCCTGGTTCCCTCTTTCCAACCCATTCTCCCTCTACCCTCCCAGTATCACCACTGGCCCTGTAGGGATCATCTGCCCTGGATTCCCTGGATTTCCAGTTCCTATCTGTACCAGTGTACATCCTCTGGTCTAGCCAGACTTGCAAGGTAGAATTCATATCAAGATAGTGGGAGCGGGGAGGAAACATTTAGGAACTAGAGGAAAGTTGTATTTTTCATTGTTGCTACATCGCACCCTGACTGGCTCATCTCCTCCCCGAGGCCCCTCTGCAAGGGGATCTCCAGTGGCCTACTAATGGGCTTTGGGTCTCCACTCCGTACTCCCCCCATCATTCACTATGGTAAGATTTTTTTGTTCTGATGATGCCTTATACCTGATCCCTTCGACACCTCGTGATTGCATAGGCTGGTGTGCTTCTTCCATGTGGGCTTTGTTGCTTCTGAGCTTGATGGCCACTTGATTACCTTCAAGCCTTTAAGACCCCAGACGCTATTTCTTTTGATAGCCGGGCACCATTAGCTTTCTTCACCACATTTGCTTATTCACCCGCTTTGTCTTCAGCGTCTCCACCATCTAGGTTTAACAGTTATGAACCTTGATGATATTTGCTTCATTTTTTCCGGCAGAATGTTTTAATATAAAATGAAGACATCATGATATTTCACCCTTAGTGCTTTAACACGCATCTTTAAACAAAATAACACTATTTCCCCACTTAACCACATTGTTATTGCACCAACCAAACGCACCCAACACTCTGAAAACTCACCGCTGCCCTCCAGCAACCCTGCAGGACAGAGCAGAGCTTCCCCTGTGGGTTTGCAAGAGCGGACATCTTGAGGACATCTTGACGGGGGTAGAAAGTCCCAAATCAACAGGAATCCCCCAATATGACAACTCCCCAGCTCATATGCAGATGACCTTGATTATCCTCCAAATTGTTTTGCTGTTCTTTCATCCAAACCAGGTTGGATGTACCCATTGGATCAATGATCTCCTTTCTTAAGTGTCTATTATCGCAAGCAGAAGGCCTTTCTCTTTGGCCTTGTCATGCCATCGCTCAGACAGTCGGCCTGGAGGAGACGCTCCACAGCACCCGCACAGGATAGAGCTTCTCAGGTGATAGGGCTTCCCAGAAGCAGACAGCCGAAACTTCTCCCTTAGAGCAGCAAGTGCGTTTGGACCACTGACCTTGTGCATAAAAGTCCAATGCTTAGCTGACAGCACGACCAGGCCTCCCAAATGTTTTTATTAGTTGTGATCCAGTCGATTCGAATTCATAAGGATCACAATAATAAGATCTACCTTGTAGGGCTGTGTTAAAGATAAATAACATGCATGTATATAATTTACATATCAATGATATCTGTATAATGTCCAATACATGGGGAGTGCTATATAAACATGAAATCTTATTATGTGTTGATAAATACTAATTAACCTCTATTACATACCTACTAAGTACCAGGCACAATGTTAGGCATCATTGAAAAGGTTCTGCTGTCAGAGAGCTTACGGTTGGGCAGGATGGAACAGGCACGAGGCGAACAGACACCGCACACGGTGCAAAGCCCATGTGTAGTATTGTAGTCGGTGAGCAGTAACGGTGGGAAGGCACACGGACTATGGCGGCGGGCTCCCTTGTAAGGTCACATTTGAGCAAAAACCTGAGCGAGCAGGAGAGCCCATCGTCTGAATAGTTAGAAGAAGAGCTTGTCAGGCAGAGGGACCACTGTCTGTCCGGACCGGATTTAGGAGTATGAACCCCAGGGACGCTGGAGAGAAGCAGGCAGCGAGCGTCGAGAGCGTTGGGAGGACTGTGGACAGAGCAAGATGGGCAGTCTCGAAGGCTTTTCCGTACAGGACTGCTAGGGCTGGCTGGTAACCTGGGAAGGTGATGTGGAAGGGCAGAAACTGAAACCGGAAGAACATCCAGAGCCGGTGTTAGTCCCGATGGTGTTATCTGATCTTCCTCACGGCATTTTGTGAGGGGGGAGGGACTGGCTCCATTTTGCAGATGAGAAAAAAATGAGATTGAGAGAGGGCAGTAATGTCAAGCTGAGAAATGCATTGACCCTCGGGTCTCTGCCTTCTCTTCATCACTGTTAATAAAAACATCAGAGCTGCCTGTGTTTAACAACAGGGATATTTCCTGTGGAGGGGTGGGGGGGAGGATTGGAGAAGGCAGTAGAATAAATTCCTGATTTTGTCCACAAATGTCCCATAAGTATTCCCGGAATTTTCTGTAGATACATCTTTCTACATCTTTCCCAAGAATGTTCCCAGTGTACTACTCCTGATAAAGGTGACCCTTTAACTTCCTGGTTTGTTGTAATAATACCGATGTAGCAATGATGAGGTCACATGAGAAGTATGTGTATTATATTATGATACGCTATCATGAGTTTTACCATAATTGGTTACCATTCAATGAGCTTACATATAGGCTTTAATAGGGTTTATTCTTTACAGTGTACATCAGTTCTAGATAATGGAAGAAGTGATTAAATATGTTATGTGAGGTTGTTCCTATAAAAAAATGGACATCAAGCATGGGTCCTTTGGGCTATGTCTTAATGACAGTATTTTTATGAGAAGTAGATTTAATTTGGTACATATTTTTAACTCCTAGCACCTTTCCCAGAAACACAAGTCACCGTTAGTGTAAGGTTGGCGTATTGGACTAAGCACTGCTAATGAAATATAAGGAGAAGTATTGTGAGAAGTTTGAAGAAAACTTTCTCTAACAATAGCTGGCTGCCATCCTTTGACATTTTTCCTTCCCTTTATCCTCCTCTGGAATGTGACCACGGTGGCGGGAACTCCAGGAGCCGCCCATGGACCATGGAGAGAAGGCAGAATGCTGAGTTGGAAATGAGGCTGGTCCCAGACACGTGTGTGGCCCTCTGAAGCAACACTGGGAAGTCTGTTTCTGCGCTGCCTGAGCATGAAAGGAGAAATTCGAGCCTGCCTGAGAAATACCCTTCCAGTTTTCAGTCCCACACTGTGTTCGGCCGGGTTGACTCGAGAAGCACATTCTGTGACAGTCAGATAAATGTGTAAGAGAGACGCTTTCTATCAAGAAGTCGTTCTATCAAGGAAACATCCCAGCCCAGTTCCAGAGCAAGTCTTGCGGGTCCAGTGGCGGTGGCCGCCTCACCACGGGCTCACATGTCTCGGTGTGGCTTGGGCAGCTCTTGGAAGGCGAAGGCAGAGAGAAACGGTGGCCTACCTCCAGCAAGCCATTTACCTCAGCTGCCCTCCACTCAAGCTGTGACCTGATTGACAGGCTAAACTCCACGCACATGTCCCTACCAGAGCCATGTTGGCACAAACAACCTAACTATCACACACACGAACAGACTTCATCTGAACGTTCCAAAACCATTACTAAACCATCAACCCCTCTATATCTAGATTTGCAGTCTACGTCTTCTCCTTTGCCAGCATGCCAGTGTTGCCCTTCCCCTCATTCGAGCCAAACTCTCAAGGCCTTTGCTCTTGCCGTTAGCCTTCCTCATCAATCCCATCATCATTTTCTCATCTGCCCCTCAAGGCAGGAGAAAGATGAGGCTTTCTACTCCTGTAAAAACGTTCAGTCTTGAAAACCCACAGGGGCAGTTCAACTCTTGCTATGAGGTCGCTATGAGTCAGAACCACGGATGGTGGTGAGATCCCCAACGAGCTGAGGGGTACTTAGTGCCATTAGACTATGAGAGCTGGGATAATAACAACAATAACAAAGTAACGAATGATCATATCTAAATAGACTTAAAGTCTAATCATGACTTTTTATTAAGGTTGTTCATATTTGACTAGACACGCAGGTAGAATGTCCTCCACTTTGCCGTTCTTATTTCATCTATTCCCGCTACTCATTTTGTGTGTGTGTGTGTGTGTGTGAAGTTTTTGAAAGCAAAATGTTGACATTGTATAATTTTGTCCTTCAATACTTCAGATTACTAGCTGATAAGGATATTAAGAAGACAACTCTTAGCACCCTTAGGACATTTAACAATAATTCACTAATAACAGAGAATTCCCCGTCTAGGTCCAGTTTGCTCCCAGTTGGTCTCGAACATGTCTTTCAAGTCTTGTGTGGTGGAGTCAGAGGGCAACGAGCCCCCCACCCCACCCCCAGTTGTACCTCTTGTTGACCGACCAGCTTGTTTCTTCTTCAAAAGAACTGTCTTTTATTTGCTGCAGAAGCCAGGCCATTTCTCATGTAGGTCTGTCTTTCCCAGCATCTGGATTTGGCTGATTACCACCCTGTAGCATTTCCCTCGGTCCCAGAACACCTTGTCAACTGGGGGTTTTATCTTGAAGCTCAATCAGATTGGGGCGCTATCGTTTCTTGGGGTTCTTTTGCAGGGTTACCTGACAGGGCTCCTGAGGGCTTCTTTTCAGAACACCTCAGGAGACAATCTCGGTTTTCATTTTGTAGACGATGTTCTTGATCGATGAGTATTGATTGTGAAGTTCCCTACAACCTTTCCCCTAATGGTAGTAAGAACCCTTGATGTTCACCTAATAGACGCTTTCTTTAGGGATTGCAACATAATGATTTTATCATTCTAGCATGCCTTCTGCATGTGTTGGCGTTTATGAAGAACTTATCCTTCGCGACTCTTTAATGAATCTGGAAAACATTTTGTTGTTGTTGTTGTTTTTTAAG